TTGCAGCCGGGGGATTCTGCTCGTCTCTTTGCTGTCCTGGGTTTCTTGCTGTCCAGAGGAGCACCGAGATCGGCATTTCTGTTGTGAGTTTGCAGAGGAACTTTTCTCCATCCGCCCCTGCCATTTTGTGTCCACCATTGGCCACTGGGAGATCTGAACCAGCCGGGACCCGCGCCACAGCGCCCCCTGCAGCCGCCGGGGAATCATCGCACCCGCCCTGCCCGGCTGGGAGCCAACAGCGCCCCTGCCAGCTGGGACTGTAACTGCACCAAAGGAGAGGCTGTGTCTCTGTAAGGCTGTCACTGAATTTGGGACTGGGCAGGTTGTTGCTATTGTTGTTGTTACTTGTTTTCACCTTGTTATACATATTAGTAAAAACTGTTATTCCCTTTTACCCATATTCTTGCCTGAAAGCCCTTGATTCTTTTTTTTTCGAAGCTATAATAATTTGGAGGGAAGGGGGGTCATATCCACCACTCCAAAGGGGTTCCCTGCCTTCATCGGCAAACACCTGTCTTTCAAACCGAGACAGAATTTGGCGCCCAACGCGAGGCTCAAGGGCAACAAGAGGAAAAAGGGGTGCAAAAGGAATAACAGTTTTTGGGTGAGCTATCTTTGTGTTCGGGGTGTAGGAACTTTACTAAGAGTCATCATGTRGTCTAGCATACCTTGGTTTGGGTGGCACATACTCATGGCCGCATTTTTCCCATTTGCAGCTCCTTTCCTGAACATGGGTCCTCTGACTAAGGCTACAGTGGCCATTATCCAATTCACACAATGGGTGAATAAGGTGAGGAATTCATGGATTTTTAACTTTCTCTGGACAGCAGGCACATGGATACAGGGCTACCACACACTAAGCGCATGTTTTTGGAGTTGGGTTAATAATGGTATCTACTGTGAGGAAGTAACACCAGGGGAAGCATTCTCCCAGCCCTTCACCCATTTATTTGGGGCTACTCCATCAGCATCTGAAGGGTCCATTTTTCACCTAGATGCCAACTACATGATGCCAATATGCATATTCTATTTAGCATCGAAAGACATGGTGAGACTGCCCTGGGCAACCACTCTAACATCTGACCCAGCGACCAGGAATGCTGCCACAGAAACTATATTGCCATAGAAACTAGGGATGCTGCCACAGAAACTAGGGATGTTGCCGCAGAGACTAGGGGTGTTGCCCCAGAGACCAGGTATGTTGCCACAGAGACTAGGGATGCTGCCCCAGAGGCTAGGGATGCTGCCCCGAGACTAGCAATGCTACCACAGACCATCACCCAAGCCAGACCCTGTCCCACTGCCTGACCCTGCCAAACAACCTACATCAGAAACTAAATGCCCAGAGTGGGTGAAGGTACTGGCGGAGGAGATACACCACCCAGAGTGGGTGAAAGTACTGGCGGAGGAGATACACCACCCAGAGTGGGTGAAGGTACTGGTGGAGGAGATACGGGAGATACGTCGCCTGGAGTGGGTGGGGGTACTGATGGAGGAGATGCGAGAGATGCACCAGGGGCTGAGGGAATACGTCTTCCCAGCTGGCGGCAAACCCTCTCCCTGCCCCAAAGAGGAAGGGTCTGATGGTGCAGCAGTGGAACCCACAGATGTTACACCTGCCCAGGTTCTGGCTGAACCACAAGGCCAGCCACAACCAGCTGCAGTAGCCCCTGTACAGAGGAAGAAGTATAAAACCAAATCGGTACACTCAGCTAATGATGATGGGGAACCAGGGTCCTCACAACCAGCAGGGGAGMCAGAGCCAGAAATAATCACTGAGTCCCTGTCGTATGACGCCCTCCACAATTTGCAAAATGACATCAAGCAAAAGCGGGGCGAGGCTTGGTCAACCTGGTTACTTCGGGTTTGGAACCTTATGGACTCAAGTGTGCAATTGGATAGCAGTGAGGCAAGGCATTTGGATGCCTTGACCAAAGATGCAGGTATTAATCAGGTATTTGTGAGGGAGCCAGGGCCCCTTTCTCTCTGGGAGCAGCTCTTAATGAGTGTATGAGAGAGGTTTGTCCACGGAGACAGGATGCAGGAATACTGTCACAGAATGCCCTGGAAGACCATTGAGAAAGGGATCCAACGGCTCAGAGAAGTAGGAGTAATGGAGGTACTCTTTGGAAGGGACAGGCAGCATCATAATGATCCTGACCAGGTCAGGTGCACCGGGCAAATGCTGTGAAATCCGGCAAGTCACGGGCCATCTCAGTATGCCACCTTCATTGCCACGATTAATGCTGATGACAACCGAGAGACAGTGGGTTCTGTAGCCAACAGGCTCAGGTATT